GCATGGCCAGAAGTCGCTGTAAAGTGGCTCATGCTTTATGAGTGGAAAGCCTACATATTGTACGAGTAGGTTGGGTTCGTATTTGCTGTGATGGAATGGACCCCTTCGGTCCAATGAGACCTTTGTGGGATGTGACATCGTATTAACACTATTATTGGCATCATTTATATCATATGCAATCCCACCAATGCACTCATAAGCGGGCAGGAACTTTTCATACATCATGAGAACCGCAGATTTCGGGCCAACATATGACGGCATAGCTATATAAACCGAGGTAAAATATATCAGGATACACTAAAGGGCATGATGTGGAGTTTGCTAAAATTGAATGAGGACTTTACTCCACAAGAAATCGTTCGGGTCGGAGCTTTCGAATTGTATTCAATGATTCGAATTGTATTCAAATGATGCCAATTTGAACAGGAATTCAGGTGCTATGCTACAGGATCGCTGGCTACCCATTATCCGCAGTGCCTACTGCCTGCCGCTAAAAGCTTGTACGATTTTGACTTGTCTTTTTTATATATTTCACGCCTCCCCCCCCCCCCCATTGGTTGTTGCATATGGCTACTTTTCTCGTGAACTTTATATCCTCCTTTTATTAATGTTATTTGTTGTGAATGTTCTAGCCTATTGATGGAGTGTTTTTGATCATTGCTATCATTTTTACTCTTTACCTTGGTCGTTTATAGTGTATTTTATATACCTGGTACCTTTGTTAGCCTATTACCTATTGATGTTGCATACATGTTTATATCACTTGCTATATATAGGTAGGTCTTTATTACTATTTACCAGTATAACGCCTTTTGGGGCGACTAACGGAGCGAGCGAGAGGGTGGGCCTTGCACGTGCGAAATTTCGAGGGGGTACCTCCAGCTGACTTGTGCACGGCACCCTACTAACCGGTCTCTAGCGATGTGCCAAATTTGAGCACAATCGGCCCAGCCGTTCTCGAGATCTGGAAGCGGCACCCTGCACGTGCGCACGTGCAAAATGGGTCCCAACTGACTTGTGCACGGCACCCTACTAACTGGTCCCTAACCGTGTATCAAATTTCAGCGCAATCGGTCCAGCCGTTCTCGAGATCTGGAAACGACCCCTGCACGTGCGCACGTGCAGCAGCACCCCAACTCTGGCACATGGATATGCATTGCCTAGTGGGTGCCTACCTACATGCCAACTTGCAGCGCAATCGGCCCAGTAGTTACCGAGATATTGCAGCTATTACAAAAGTGACACCTCTTCGTTTTGCACGTGGCACGTGCATAAGGGGTCACCCACATGCATCGAGAATCGTCCAATACTTGGTAGAAGGAATGAAGCTACCCTACAAAAATTACCGCATGTAAATCGGTCAAGTGGTTGTTGAGATATAAGCGTCGCAGAATCGTGACCACGGCCGGCCGGCCGGCCGCTCATACTCAGAAATTTCCGTTATTGACTCCGCTCGCTTCGCTCGCTCCGTAATCACTTTATATAACCTTTGTTATTTAACAGATTTGGGTATAATTAGAATGTATATCGCTTATGAGATATTTCCTTCTTTTTCATATATGTTAACTAGTGGTGTCATTTTCCAAAAAATGTCTGACCGATACCGACCGAAACCGAAATTTGGGAAAAATTTCCGACCGAATACCGACCGATAACATCCCAAGCCAAAATTTGACCGAAATTTGACCGAAATTCTATTTGCTATTACTCTACCCCAAAATTGAATTATTTGGTAAATTCTGATGGAAACTAATGGGAAATGGCATTTCAGTCCAAGTTCAGTCAATTCTTAGCCACTGCAAAATACATTTTGTGGTAGAAGTTACTTACAGTTAAAGACTGGAATTGAGTTTCACAATGGTGTGTATTTGTGGGGCCAACTGAGTCAAAATCAGCCTGCTTGTGGTTGTGGTTGGACAATTGGTGGCTGCTGCCTGCTGAGTGGGATGGCTACTGAAGTTGCCAAAACATGGCATCCCTTGTAGTATTTGGGGGAAATTTTGCAACTTTATCATTAACATCCCAATAACTTTCATTTTAACTAGGCAAAAATGGAATACTTTCTCTTTTTGAAAATGGTTTCACTGACAGGGTGACCGAAAGTGTCCGATTTTTGGGGGGCCTGACCGACCGATTACCGAATCGGTCAGCATATCTTTTCGGTAACCGATTTTTTCGGTAACCGATTGACACCACTAATGTTAACCCTCGCCCTGGCAGGGGGGGTCGATGCGACCCCCCCCCCCCCTAAGGTTTTTCAAAGATAGCGTAAAAACGGCGGCGCGCAGCGCCGCCAAATTTGGCACAGCCTATGGGGCAACCTTTTTACATGTGACTTGAAAATTTCAGGTCCGGGTGACCTTGGGTCAGGTCACCAGGTCAGAAAAACCGGTACAAGGTCATGGTCAAATTTCAATTTTCTTTTCGCACCTGTCCTGCTCACAGTTTTGAACTGATTTCCTTCAAACTTTCAGGGTGTGCTAAGTTCACCGAGTTGTATAACATATAGTTCGGGTTTTTTGAGGTCACTGACCTGAGGTCAGTTAGAGGTCATTACGTCGTAATGTTAAGCCTATGGGAAAATACTAAATTAGGAAAATACTGGAGATATCCGCTTCGTTCTATCACTTTTGTGCTTTGAAACCACAGTACTTAACAGCAGGTCACTTGGTGCTTCTTTGTTTGGTGTACTTATCCATGGGTCAGGTCAAATGAGGTCAACTGAGGTCAAATGACGTTTTTGCCAATAACTTGGCACATAATGACGCTAGAGCTTAAAAAATAGTGTCATTGTGTTCCTGGTGATCAGCCGAATCGAATGATATGCAATATGATGCAATTTGGTTAACTTGAACTTAATTGATTAATTAAAGTTTACTTAAAAATTAAGAAAAACTTTAAGTACACGTAAGAAAGCTAAAAAGTATATCATTCGACGCGCCTTGACGTGCTGAGTTCACTGGTGCTTTTCTTTTTGCTCTATCTTAATTAGATCAAAAGTTATAAGCGAAAAACTTTTGACCTGTTTTTAGCGAAATTTTTACATTTATACCCCCCAAAACCCCCCCTAAATATTGACCTAGAGCAACCAAATTTGCACAGGGGCGAGAACTCCGGGGTGCCCACCTACCTACCAAATTTGGTGTTTCTAGGTGCCATAGGGGCCAATCGCGAGGGGGGGGGGTCGCATCGACCCCCCCCCCCCTGCCAGGCCGTGTTATGAAAAATGCCCTGCCAGGGCGAGGGTTAAATGTTTTATCATAGAATGTCACGTGCTATTTATCTATTTTACTATCTGTATTCTGTGACATGTCCTTGTCTGCCAAAGACGAATCGCCCTAAATGATGCGACCGATACCCCCGAACCCGATTACGATACGCTGACGAAGCTTTTGTAATACAATTCGAAAGCTCCGACCCGAACGATTTCTTGTGGAGTAAATGTCCTCATTCAATTATTATATATCAGGATAGTATAAATCAAGTTATGTGGCCGAATTATGTTGTATGGCGTAGGGATGTTACGCGTAATTTGATGGGCTTACCCGCTCTGCATATATATTCACAACTTTACGGGCCGCTGACCCCCCTCCCCTCCTCCCTCCTTGTCCCTGCGAGCGGTACGCCGGGAGAACTTACACGTGCATGGGGCCAGCCCGTTTTCCTCCCTCTTTAACCCTATTCCTGGCGGGGGGGGGGGCCTCAGGAGCCCCCCCTGAGGTTTTTTGGTTATTTCTCCCAAACGCGTTGAGCTAGGAAGCTCAAATTTTCTGACTTTTCCTAAAAGGCTTCTACGCAACATGTCTGAAAATTTTGAGTTGATCTGACCTCAGGTCAGGTCACCAGAGGCGGTTTGGTGACCCTACCTCAGAAAAGTTTGCAATCACGCCAGAGCTAGAGTTTTTGACCGATCAATTTCTTCTCTTCAGGGTTTAGTTAGGGTACCAGTATGTGCAATTTGTATATCTCGGAATTTTGATATCGGTGACCTAAGGTCAGGTCAATTTCGCGACCTCCCCATTATAAGTCAATGGGGGAAAAATCAACTCCCTGTTTTTACCACTAAAACGGGTCGGAATGGCCCCATATACCATACATGACTTCATATACGATCAACCTTCACTACCTTGAGGTCTGTTTTGCTGTTGGGCAGCTGTGAGGTCATGTGACGTCATCAAAGGTCACCAAAGGTTTTTGGCCAATAACTCCGTACAGGAACAAGATACAGACGCGTGGATGGTCTCATTGTGTTCAGCTCGTCAAGACGCATCGAATGATATACATGATGACCTCGAGGTCACGTGACCTGAGGTCAGCCTTTGACCTTGACCTTTCGAGGTCAACATATATATCATTCGATGCGGAAGGACGAGAGGATCACGATGATGCCCTTAGTTTGTTCCTATCTTGACTAATTCGAAAGTTATTCGAGAAAAACTCTCTCCATATCTAGCGCCGCCATTTTGACTTTTTCGACCCCTGTGACGTCATCTTTGACCTGACCTGAAAATGACCTTTGTAAAAATTGTAGATCTTGGCCGTGCGTATCCGATGCCGTTTACCGCTTGTCGCTATCTTGCTTCGTTTTCGAGATCTCAGGGGGGGGGGGCCGAATCGGCCCCCCGCCAGTTTCTTGTCCCGGCGGAGCCCGCCAGGAATAGGGTTAAACCTTACCTCATTTGCCTTCCGACCGAGCCACCGTCTGTCCCTTCACATTCCGATCCTAATTAGGGTCACCGCACCTGCCTGACGGACTGTCAACCACCCAGCGGGCGGTCGGTCCTGACGGGTCGGTGCTTACACGCAGAATATCGATATCATTGTACGAGAGAAATATTGATTCAAAATGTTTTTGATTCTTGTATATGTGCTGTAAATAAATGTTTCGATCTTAAAAAGCAACTACCCTCCGTAAATCACCCGGTCCTGTCAAGTCGGTGGGGTGTCATGGTCCTGACGAGTGAGCGCTTACAAGTAGGTGTGTGTGTGTGTGTTGTCAGGCGCTGCTGGTGATTGGCGGGTTCGAGGCGTACCTGACGCTGCTGCAGCTCTGTGACGCCCGCCAGCAGCACCCGGAGCTGTGTGTGCCCATGGCCTGCATCCCGGCCACCATCAGCAACAACGTGCCCGGCACCGGATTCTCGCTGGGCTGCGACACGGCCGTCAACGAGATCACCGAGGTCAGTCACCGCCCGCTGCAGTGCACCGGAGCGGCACCCAGCGGCAGCGCGGTCCTCTCAACCATCATCGGCACCTCCACGGCGACGCCCAACCATAGAGGCATCTCACGCAGTGAATATGACATAGTCTGCAGCGCACACCTCCACAGCTCATATCCCTTATTCTGTAATTAGGCTCCTTGCTTGCTCATTGCTCCTTCATAACACACTCATATAGCGCTCGTATATCACTGCATGATTGATAGGTATGCGTATTTCGACTGAAAATTGTAACATGCCTAAATGTTGAAGTTTTCTTTATACTTTGGTGTGGCCTTTGGCGTCATCAGTGTTATTGAGTCCAACAAAATTAGGCTTAATTCAACATATTCTCTGGGCCTTCAAACGACCTTTCAATTCTGAAAGTCGTCTCGTCGGTATCGCCTCCGTACAGCTCCACGACTGTGTTGACGGCGCTGTGGAAAGTACTCGGGTCAGGCGGGCTGGCTCCCGCCGCGCTGCCGCCGTGTTCTGGCCTCTACAGTTACACAGACTCTCTGACCTTGACAAAGTACACTGCAGGCTGATCGGAGCCCTCCAGCAGGCGGACAATGGCCATCGGGCCCCTATCGGCAGCGCCGGCGCTGGCCAGTGTCACCGGCCAGACCAATAGTCATCGTTTAAATATTTGAGCGGCGGTATCTTCTCCGATTACCGCTGTTAGTACGTGAGGTTTCCGTTGGAACTGGTGTGGCTCTCGTTTGACAGCACCCCTCCCCTCCCCTTCCCTCCCCCTCCCCCTCCCCTCCCCCTGCGCTCCACCCTTCCCGATCGGAGCGGCGGCACCGGCCTTCTGAGGCAGCGGCACCGGCCCTCTAAGGCAGCGGCAGTGACGGCACCGGCCCTCTGAGGCAGGGGCACCGGCGCTCTGGGCCAGCGGCACCGGCCCTCTGAGGCAGGGGCACCGGCCCTCTGAGGCAGCGGCACCGGCCCTCTGGGCTAGCGGGACCGGCCCAGGGGCACCGGCCCTCGGAGTCAGCGGGACCGACCCTCTGAGGCAGCGGCACCGGCGCTCTGAGGCAGCGGCCCCGGCCCTCTGAGGCAGCGGGATCGGCAAGTGCCACTGGGCTGCGGGTCGTGTGTGACTGGGGCGCGTGTTTACAGAGCTATGGCGCCAGTCCATGGAGAACGGTGGTGGAGTCGGCCGGCGTCCCGACGTGCCGATGCTGACAGACCGCTGATGTGGGTAGCAGGGCTGTGTGGAGCTAGCTCCGGTCAGATGCTGCTGCAGCTGCCGGTCGCTGCCAGCGGTCAGATGCTGCTGCAGCTGCCGGCCGCTGCCAGCGGTCTGCTGTTTGATGGAGTGTGTGTGTCGGTGCGTGAGTCTGTCCTGACGCAATCTGGCGGCCCCGGCAGATCTGTGACCGAATCCGGCAGTCGGCACAGGGCACCAAACAGCGCGTCTTCATCATCGAGACAATGGGCGGCTACTGCGGCTACCTGGCCACCATGGCGGGTGGGTGAGGGGCGGGGCGGGTGGTTGTGCGGGCCGCGCAGTGGGTGTCCGGGCCGGGCGATGGGTGGGGGGCCGGGCGATGGGTGTGCGGGCCGGGCGGTGGGTGCGGAGGCCGGGCAGTGGGTGTGAGGGGCCGGGCGGTGGGTGATTTGAGAACGGAGCAGAAGGCAGAGCAGGGCCATGGCAGGGCACAGAACGCGAAACGAAACTCAAAACCTAAGACGAAACATGCTTGGAGCGGAGAGCACAAAGTTTAGCTCTAACTTTTACACTTTTGTCCTTCTGGTGTTCTGGGTGTGGAGTTCAGAACACAGCAGAGCACACAAACAAAAAACGCCGAAGAAAAACACAGACCAGATAGAACAAACACAGAACAGAACATCGACACAGAGCAGGCAATTCGGACACAGGAAAATACAAAGCATACACAGAACATACAGAACAGACGCGAACACACAGAACATAAAGAACGCATACGAATATGTAGAGCAGAGGGATCCGATAGCCTTACCCTCGCCCGACGCATTGACTTTCGTCATGCGTCTCTTTTTCGTCTTTTTCGAATGGAAGGACTACTCCTTTCGCCGCTTTGCTCTTAATTAAACTAGACCCTCTTGTAAAAAAATGAACGTATTCACTGACACGAGACGTTTCACGTATAACGTCATAGGACGTCACTTGCCTAACCTGACCTGAAAAACGGGTACCTAGGGCAATCGATCCCACTTAAAGCACAGAAAAAGGTATCATTTACTCTATTTTTTACGGAGCGAGCGAAGCGAGCGGAGTCTTTCCTTAGATTAACGGAAATTTCTGAGTATGAGCGGCCGGCCGTGCGGACGCTTTTGCGAGGCTTATATCTCAGCAACCACTTGACCGATTTACACGTGATACTTTATGTAGGGTAGCTTCATTCCTTTAACTAAGTATTGGACTATCCCTGATGCATGTGGGTGACCCCTTAGTGCCACGTGCAAAACGAAGAGGTGTCAGTTTTGTAATAGTTGCAATATCTCGGTAACTACTGGGCCGATTGCACTGAAAGTTGGCATGTAGGTAGGCACCCACTAGGCAATGCATATACATGTGCCAGAGTTGGGATGCTGCTGCACGTGCGCACGTGCAGGAGTCGATTCCAGATCTCGAGAACGGCTGGACTGATTGCGCTCAAATTTGGTACACGGCTAGGGAGCAGCTAGTAGGGTGCCGTACACAAGTCAGTTGGGACCCATTTTGCAGGTACACACGTGCAGGGTGCCGCTTCTAGATCTCGAGAACGGCTGGGCCGATTGTGCTCAAATTTGGCACATCGCTAGAGACCGGTTAGTAGGGTGCCGTGCACCAGTCAGTTGGAGGTACATACATACCCCTCGAAATTTCGCACGTGCAATGCTCACCCTCCCGCTCGCTCCGTTAGTCGCCCCAAAAGGCGTTATACTGGTTTAGGTATATTCGAAATGTCAGCTATCCATCTCCAACGAGTTCCCCGCAATCACAATAATTAGAAAAAAACGTCCTGACGTTGAGAGTAAAATAAGCCTAATTGTTTTGTTTCTCAAAATGATCGTCTCTTTTAAGTTCAAAGCCGTCTTTTACAAATTGAGTTGTTTTCACTTATTCAAATTAAAGGGAGAAGATGTAGTTTAATCGGCTATTGGCTTTCGGCACGAAGCATATGCCTTGTGCTGCACTGTGCCATAGCGTCGTTGGCGCTCGGCTCTGTGGCAGTCCGCGGCGCTCAACTCTGACCCTATATGACCTCAGTACCTCTGACGTTTGGCCGCACACCATTTCCGACCTCTGTGTTCTCTGCCTCTGACGCCTGGGATCTCAGGGCCCCTTTTCATGATACGCTGCTAGACGCCGCTAGTGCTATTGCGCTTTCGGTTCCCATGGAAACACCGCTAAGTTTCATAGCACTAGTAGCCGGCAGCAGCGTGCCTGTGAAACGGGGTGACCTCTGGTCTCTGTGACCTGTGATCTCTGTGAACTCCGACAGCTGACCTTCGTGCCATCTGTGCTCTGGGCTTTGGCCTCTGACCTCTGACATTTGACTGGCAGCGCTGGCCGGTGGCGCCGACAACGCCTACATCTTCGAGGAGCCGTTCAGCATCGCCGACATCCGCGAGGACATCTACCACCTGATCCAGAAGATGGACGAGGGTGGCATCAAGCGCGGCCTCGTGCTCAGGTCCGTGTGACGCCGTGCCCAGTGCCCAGTGCCGTGTGCCGTCCACTCAGCTGTGGTGTGTGGGGAGCGGGCGGCCTCGCCGACCGTCCCGCCTAACGGTGCGTCCTGCCGCCGCCAGGAACGAGTACGCCAACCCCAACTACACCACCGAGTTTCTGCACCAGGTGTTCACCGAGGAGGGCAAGAACACCTTCTCCTGCCGCATGAACGTCCTCGGTGAGTGGCCGGCCGGCCGGCGGGGGGGGGGGCGGGGCCAGTGCGCTGGTTTGCTGGAGGTGTGGGGGATGGCGGAAAGAACCACGCCAAGCTGCCTATCAGGTCTTGGACTTATTTTTCTGCCAGTGTCCTCTGGGCAGGGCTGCGGAGTCGGCGGATTTTGGGCGATTCCCACTCCCACTCCCACTCCCACTCCCACTCCCACTCCCACTCCTACTCCCACTCCCACTCCCACTCCCACTCCTACTCCCACTCCGCTCCGGACGGTGCTCTAAAGCGCACAACATGATAGTAAAGCTTACATAGGAGATCTTTTTTCTTGCCTGGGACCATCCTTTGCGCACTGCAAGGCCTGCGTTGCAAATATGCCTTTTAATTAGCATGCAGAACTAAAAGCAGCTTCTGTCGCAGCCGCGATCTTCTGCTTTTGTTGCTGAAAACGCTCGTCCAAAACAAGAGTATGGCCTTAGCTTCGACAAAATATGATGTGGAAAGGTCAACGGACGTGATGTAAAGCAAGCAGGTGTGGGGCATGCCTTTGGACCATGCAGTGATTCCGGAGTCAGAGCCTGTCAGATTTTGGCGACTCCGACTCCGGACAGCGCTGTCGACTCCGACCGATTCCGACTCCGACTCTGCAGCCCTGCCTCTGGGCACCTTAGGTCGGGACAGACTTCATATGCCCCTAAACGATTCAAGGCTCCTCGGTATGCCGAGCTCCCACCTTCAGATTGTATTGTTTTGTTTCATGGGCTGAGAATTTGAGGTCAAGTTCCCACGTAGCTGAACGTTAATCTCTCGCACAACTGTGTGCACGTTTCTCAGACCGCCAGCTGCTCCTGCCTCTTGTCTTGCCGGCGCCGCCCTTGGGGAAGGGAGGCGCCTCTGCATCCTTATACTGAGCCGCTCCACGGAACGAACGTCATGGGTCGAACCCCGGCTCGGACCTCGTACAGGGTGTCCGTGTCCTGAAAATTCGTTGACACATTTCTCAGGTCAATAAAGCATATAAGGGTCCGCAAAAATATATGTCCATATGTGTATGCATATATAAATAGGTATATAGTAGGCATGTACGAGTATATGCTGCACATCACTACATGTTTGACAACCAATTCAGCATGTCGGAGACCAAACGTGCGTAATGATCGGAGACCAAACGTTGTAGCCCCCAAAATTTGTGCCCCGGCGATTTTAGTCTCTCCATCAGCTGCGGAAGACTGACGAAGGCTTCCTTGCTGACGAGCTCTTGCTGGAAAACTTGCCTTAGGTTCTGCGTCTCATTTATGTTGCATGAGCTCCCTGCCGACATCTGTTTCTTCTATGAAGCAGACAGCTTGCCTTGGCACCATTCATTAGTATGCTTAGCGCCAACGCCTTCACGAAAACAGGCGCTGACATCCCGAGCACCATTTTCCTTTCCAAAACGACGCCATTTCTAGACAAACGGCAGGCGCCTGGGGTAAATCTGTTCGTATCGCCTCGTAGCAGAATGTATCGGCCGTCTGTTTCTGAGACTGTACTTGCGCAATTTTGTCAGCTCTTGAGTGTTTATCACTACCTACAGTGAAACACTCGCCGGGTTACTGAGCGTTACCTTCAGGCTTCAGTTACCTTCAGAAGAAATTCTGCTTTGTAAGCTGCTCAAGCCTGGTCATAATGTCGTTTGTCGGGTGTTTTACTTCGAATGTAAAGTTTTTACTGTATTTTTAGTTGTGTTCCGACACACTATCCTGCTGGTGTACGCAAGTCGTCCAAAACGGTTTTGTTGTGCCTCATTTTTTCGTCTATAAGAATGTCATATGCAATTATTTGGCTGTTCATCATTTTGCACCAATTCCTCCCCCAGCTTTGTTCAGTTAGGACCTCCTTTCCACACTCTGGAAGCGGAGAGTGGAGCTGAACTGACCCGAACTTGCGACCTCCATTGTCGCGTCTGACTTATGGACACGGACCAAGGTGGCTCACACGCGGCCGGATGCATTTGAAAACAACGTTACTCTGCCAGACTGGTTGTTGCTAGTGCCCATATGAAAGTTCGACGTTGACTTTCAAGCTACTGCAGGAATATCGACGCAAAAACGTGGTTGGTGCCTGTCAACAAGCTTTCGGGATACCCTGCTAAGGCACAGTACAATAGCTCAACATTAAACGTATTTTCTTTATGTTCGTGCCGTGCTTTTTTGGGCATTTTCAATGTGTGTCTGTTTTACAGTGTATTTCGGATGTTATGTTCACGGTGACTGAGCGACCCGGTGCGTTTGTGCGGAGTGCCCCGCGCAGTGTACGCCCTCAAAGTCAGCCAGGGGTGTGTGGGTGGCCGCTGACCCGCTGACCGGCGCAGTGGCCGCCCTCACAGCCAGCCAGGGGTGTGTGGGTGGCCGCTGACCCGCCGCTGACCGGCGCAGTGGCCGCCCTCACAGCCAGCCAGGGGTGTGTGGGTGGCCGCTGACCGCGCAGTGGCCGCCCTCACAGTCAGCCAGGGGTGTGTGGGTGGCCGCTGACCCGCTGACCGGCGCAGTGGCCGCCCTCACAGTCAGCCAGGGGTGTGTGGGTGGCCGCTGACCCGCTGACCGGCGCTGCCCCGCGGCCAGGCCACATGCAGCAGGGCGGCTCACCCAGCCCGTTCGACCGCAACATGGCCACCAAGATGGCGGCCAAGTGCACCGACTGGCTGGTGCGCCAGATGACGGAGAACACGCGCGAGGACGGCTCCGTGTTCACCAACCAGCCGGAGACGGTGTGCATGCTGGGCCTGCGCTCCCGGCGCTACGAGTTTACGCCGGTCCACTCGCTCAAGCCCGAGACCGACTGGGAGTGAGTACAGGGAGATACCATACAGACTGGGAGTGAGTACGGGGGAAATGGTACCATACAGACTGGGAGTGAGTACAGGGGAGATGATGCCATACAGACTGGGAGTGAGTACTGGAGAGATACCATACAGACTGGGAGTGAGTACAGGGGAGATACCATACAGACTGGGAGTGAGTACAGGGGAAATGATATTATACAGACTGGGAGTGAGTACTGGGGAGATACCATACAGACTGGGAGTGAGTACAGGGAGATACCATACAGACTGGGAGTGAGTACAGGGGAAATGATACCATACAGACTGGGAGTGAGTACAGGGAGATACCATACAGACTGGGAGTGAGTACAGGGGAAATGATACCATAGAGACTGGGAGTGAGTACAGGGAGATATCATACAGACTGGGAGTGAGTACAGGGGAAATGATACCATACAGACTGGGAGTGAGTACAGGGAGATACCATACAGACTGGGAATGAGTACAGGGGAGATGATACCATACAGACTGGGAATGAGTACAGGGGAGATGATACCATACAGACTGGGAGTGAGTACCGGGGAAATGATACCATACAGACTGGGAGTGAGTACAGGGGAAATGATACCATACAGACTGGGAGTGAGTACAGGGAGATACCATGCAGACTGGGAGTGAGTACAGGGAGATACCATACAGATTGGGAGTGAGTACAGGGAGATACCATACAGACTGGGAGTGAGTAGGTACAGGGGAGATGATACCATACAGACTGGGAGTGAGTACATGGGAGATGATACCATACAGAATGGGAGTGAGTACAGGGAGATACCATACAGACTGGGAGTGAGTACAGGGAGATACCATACAGACTGGGAGTGAGTACAGGGGAAATTATACCATACAGACTGGGAGTGAGTACAGGGGAAATGATACCATACAGACTGGGAGTGAGTACAGGGAGATACCATACAGACTGGGAGTGAGTACATGGGAGATACCATACAGACTGGGAGTGAGAAGGTACAGGGGAAATGATACCATACAGACTGGGAGTGAGTACAGGGAGATACCATACAGACTGGGAGTGAGTACAGGGGAAATGATACCATACAGACTGGGAGTGAGTACAGGGGAAATGATACCATACAGACTGGGAGTGAGTACAGGGGGAATGATACCATACAGACTGGGATAGATTTTGACTGGACAGACTGGACGAGATAGATTTTCTTTCAAATGTTATTGAAGAAAGATTTATGGGGCTTTATGTAGAGTGACCTTCCTGGTAACAGCTGGCCATCAGCCGTTCCTTGGTCATTGTACTTTGGCATAGGTGTGATGATTCTAAATAGAACGTAAAAATTGTGTAAGTTAATTTTCCACAAGTTGCTCAGTAAGAGAAGGTGAAGAATGGTGTTCCCTCCCTCGCCAGTGTGTACATACATTGCCATTAGTTTTTCCCCGTGCGGTGGCGGTGTTGTGTTCTGTCGGGCCCTCGGTGCGGGTCCGCTGTACCCCGGAGTGCCGGTCTGACGCGCCGCCCGCCGCGCCGACAGACACCGCATCCAGAAGCAGCAGTGGTGGATGAAGCTGCGCCCGCTGATGCGCATCCTGGCCAAACACACGGCCACTTACGAGGAGGAGAACGTCGAGGTCGAGCTGGACGGAAAGGCCCACTAACCGGCCGGCTGCGGCGCCGGCGGGCATTAGCAACATTTCGCCGTCTCCTAGTCCACAGTCGATCTTAAATCAACCGCGTTGTGAGCGCTTTAGCTAATTGTTGCCGGCCGATTTCGCTATTGGTATTCGGAATCGCTATAGGAAGGCGGCCAGGCTGATTGTTTTTGTTTTCTGGGCCGGTGATCGGACGCTTGTTGGCGCCTAAGTGTCCGCCGGCTCGTCAAATTGCGCCGGGTGGGTGCGTGGGTCGCCGAGCTGCGCTGTCGGCCCTGCCGTGCGCTAGGCCCGCTGGCGGTGTTCTCTGCATGGCGTACCCATATGCTAGGTCAATCTGAGTTGCAATCTGTCCTGGTTTGGCGCCGTTTGGACTGTTCCCAATACACGGTCTTGGCAGAGGCGAGCGGGTGTGCAGCGGCCGACCATCGGCGCAGACCGGCGTCTGGGGAGCTGGGGGGGGGGGGGGCGCCTCGGCCGGGGAGCTGGGGGGCTCGTCTGAGGAGTTGGGGGGGGGGGCTCGGCCGGGGAGCTGGGGGGGGCCTCGGCCGGGGAGCTGGGGGCGTTAGGGCGCCTCGGCCGGTGGTAGGTACACCAGCTGTGCTCTGTCGTGGTCTTGTTGGACGGAGAAATACGACTGCGCTGATAACGGTGGCACGGAATACCGAACGTTTTGCACATCATGCCCTGTGCGCACATCGGAACAAAGGTGGTGTATGTGGTGCTGCCGTGGGCCGGCCAGCCCCACGCCGGCGGCGTCCGGCTGGGCCGGCCAGGGTGTGGACGAGCTCGTCCTGTCAGCCACCCACAGCTAGAGTGGCCGTCTGCTGTGGCCCCACCCCGACTTCTCCTCTCCCTCCCTCTCTCCCTCTCTCTCACCGTGTTCTCCTCCCCTGTGTATTGTCACAAACACATCACGGTACAACTCCAGTGCGGTATAGGGCAGCACGGCGATTGAGCTGGTCCCGCTCCCCGATATGTTGACTGCGTACCCGCAGTGGATAGAGGGCTGGGAAGAGTTACCAGCCGCGGGGAGTGCGGCGGTCGCCTCACCCGCCCCTCCGCTCGTCCCCCTCCCACCTGGCAAGCTTCATCGCCTCAGAAACCTGGTCACAATGCCGCCCACAGTCCGCAACAGCGTGTCCTGGAGGGCTCGCAGACAGACGCGCAGACGAGCGCGGGCGTTCGGGCGGCGGTTACAGCCGGCCGCCGGTCCGCTCGTGCCGCGGCTGCCCGGTCCGACCGCACGAACACTGCCAGTGCCCCGACGCAGTGGTCGCCGGCTCGGTCACCGGGTTCGGTCACCAGGGGGCTAGGCTCTGTCCGGGACGCTAGGCTCGGTCACTGGGGGCTAGACTCGGTCACCGCGCAGCGCCGCGGGCCCGCCGCGCCGGCCGGCCGGGCCGGGATCACCAGACGACCAGCTCGGAGGTGCTGACGTTGTCCTCGCTGCCGTAGCTGCTGTCGAAGCTGCCCGTCAGCAGCGGCAGCTTCTCCTGGTCGGCCGGCGCGTCGCCGCCCTTCTCCTTGTCGGCGGGCGTTTGAGTGTGGCCGGCCGGCCGGCGCCGAGTGGCCAGGAACAGCAGCACGGCCGCCAGCTGCCGGCACAGGCGCGCGGCCAGTCAGCCGGCTGTCGGGGCGCGTGTCAAACAGAGGCGGCGGGACGGCCGACGCCCCGAAACAGAACAGGGTGGCTCTCACACTGACAGGAGAAGGGCAGTCACTGACTGACTGACTGAAGACACTGACTCGGGAGGGGAGGCGAGACTGACAGCAGACGGGAGGTGTGACTGAGAGGTGACACTGACACGACAGGCTGACAGGGGAGGTGTCACTGACACTGACACTGACAAAACATGACAGATGATACTGACAGGCAGGGGAGGTGTCACTGACAGGGGCGGTGACACTGACAGGACAGAGGGTATGACACTGACACGGGGAGATGATACTGAAGGGACAGTGCAGATGGCACTGACAGGACAGGTGAGGTGTCACTGACAGGACAGGGGAGGTGACACTGCCAGAAGAGGGGAGGTGACACTGACAGGACAGGGGAGGTGGCACTGACAGAAGAGGGGAGGTGGCACTGACAGGACAGGGAAGGTGACACTGACAGGGACAGGGGAGGTGACACTGACAGGGACAGGGGAGGTGACACTGACAGGGGAGGGAAGGTGGCACTGACAGGACAGGGGAGGTGACACTGACAGGGACAGGGGAGATGACACTGACAGGGACAGGGGAGGTGACACTGACAGAAGAGGGGAGGTGACACTGACAGGGACAGGGGAGGTGACACTGACAGGGACAGGGGAGGTGACACTGACAGGGACAGGGGAGGTGACACTGGACAGGGAAGGTGACACTGACGGGACAGGGGAGGTGGCACTGACAGGGACAGGGGAGGTAACATTGACAGGGGAGGTGAGGTGACACTGACAGGGGAGGTGTCACTGACGGGACAGGGGAGGTGACACTGGCAGGACAGGGGAGGTGACACTGACAGGGACAGGGGAGGTGACACTGACAGGGGAGGGAAGGTGGCACTGACAGGACAGGGGAGGTGACACTGACAGGGACAGGGGAGGTGACACTGACAGGGACAGGGGAGGTGACACTGACAGAAGAGGGGAGGTGACACTGACAGGGACAGGGGAGGTGACACTGACAGGGACAGGGGAGGTGACACTGACAGGGGAGGGAAGGTGGCACTGACAGGACAGGGAAGGTGACACTGACGGGACAGGGGAGGTGGCACTGACAGGGACAGGGGAGGTGACACTGACAGGACAGGGGAGGTGACACTGACAGGGACAGGGGAGGTGACACTGACAGGGACAGGGGAGGTGACACTGACAGAAGAGGGGAGGTGACACTGACAGGGACAGGGGAGGTGACACTGACAGGGACAGGGGAGGTGACACTGACAGGGACAGGGGAGGTGACACTGGACAGGGAAGGTGACACTGACGGGACAGGGGAGGTGGCACTGACAGGGACAGGGGAGGTGACACTGACAGGGACAGGGGAGGTGACACTGACAGGGACAGGGGAGGTGACACTGGACAGGGAAGGTGACACTGACGGGACAGGGGAGGTGGCACTGACAGGGACAGGGGAGGTAACATTGACAGGGGAGGTGAGGTGACACTGACAGGGGAGGTGTCACTGACGGGACAGGGGAGGTGGCACTGACGGGACAGGGGAGGTGACACTGACAGGGACAGGGGAGGTGACACTGACAGGGGAGGGAAGGTGGCACTGACAGGACAGGGGAGGTGACACTGACAGGACAGGGGAGGTGACACTGACAGGGACAGGGGAGGTGACACTGACAGGGACAGGGGAGGTGACACTGACAGAAGAGGGGAGGTGACACTGACAGGGACAGGGGAGGTGACACTGACAGGGACAGGGGAGGTGACACTGACAGGGACAGGGGAGGTGACACTGGACAGGGAAGGTGACACTGACGGGACAGGGGAGGTGGCACTGACAGGGACAGGGGAGGTAACATTGACAGGGGAGGTGAGGTGACACTGACAGGGGAGGTGTCACTGACGGGACAGGGGAGGTGGCACTGACGGGACAGGGGAGGTGACACTGGCAGGGACAGGGGAGGTGACACTGGACAGGGGAGGTGACACTGACAGGACAGGGGAGGTGGCACTGGACAGGGGAGGTGACACTGACTGGACAGGGGAGGTGTCACTGACAGGGACAGGGGAGGTGTCACTGACAGGGGAGGTGACACTGACAGGGACAGGGGAGGTGGCACTGGACAGGGGAGGTGACACTGACAGGGACAGGGGAGGTGGCACTGACAGGGGAGGTGACACTGACAGGACAGGGGAGGTGGCACTGGACAGGGGAGGTGACACTGACTGGACAGGGGAGGTGTCACTGACAGGGACAGGGGAGGTGTCACTGACAGGGGAAGTGACACTGACGGGACGGGGGAGGTGTCACTGACAGGGGAGGTGACACTGACGGGACAGGGGAGGTGACACTGACAGGGGAGTTAATGACACTGCGAGGGGTGAGTGGCGCCGACAGGGGACGCCGGGCGCCGGGACAGTGCCCCTCCTCGGGCCCCGCCTCACCAGGACGACGTGCATGATGACCACCAGCAGCGTGGCGTAGCCGAAGCCGAAGTGGTCGTACAGGATGCCGGCCACTGAGGGGCCGACGAACGCGCCGAACGCGAACATACTGGTCCACAGGCCCGACACCATGCTGTACGTGTCCAAGTTGTCCGGGAAACCGTTGTAGCTGCGTACAGAGTCGGGCGAGCCGCCGTCAAACACCGGACGCAGTCAACGGACATCACCGGACGCAGTCACCGGACACGGTCACCGGCACCTGTTACGGTGTAAGTCACGGTCATCGGTTGACCTTCTAGGACATGCGAGGGTTAAAATTAGGTATCATCGGCTTCCTCTCGTCACGTACAACACGCTCGCATTTGCTGCGAAGCCTTATCTCGATCAGTGGCGAAACGGCAAGGGGGTCTACGGGCGAGGATTAATGCATACTTGTAAGCATAGCAATCAATGAATGCCTCATGGGCTTTCGGATTGTCTGGTGTTCCGACGCCAGCGGTCTGACGTGGCTGGTCTCCGGTGACGGCGGCGCGCCCCGGCCCCGCTTACACTGCCCCCCCCCCCCCCGGTGTCGTGCGCGCGCGCCCGGACCCCACTTACACTGCCTCCCGGTGAGCGTCCACGAAGGCGGCCACCACCTCGCCGCCGAACCCCACGCCGTGCACCACCAGCGCGAAACTGATGAGGCCCAGCGAGCTGCCGGAGCACACACACAGACACAGCCCGTCAGCGGCAGCAGCTGAAGACCCGCGACACGGCCTGCAGCCGGGGGACAACACTGGGCAGCGACCGGTCCACAGCCGGGGGACAACACTGGGCAGCGACCGGTCCACAGCCGGGGGACAACCTTGAGCAGCGACCGGTCCGCAGCCGGGGGACAACACTGGGCAGCGACCGGTCCGCCGCTGAGGGACAACACCGGGCAGCGACCGGTCCACAGCCGGGGGACAACACTGGGCAGCGACCGGTCCACAGCCGGGGGACAACACTGGGCAGCGACCGGTCCACAGCCGGGGGACAACACTGGGCAGCGACCGGTCCACAGCCGGGCCCACCGGGTCAATCTGCAGCACGCCAACGACAGCATGGTGGCGGGGGCCCGCCGCCGACTGTTGGGCCACGGGCCCGCCCAGCCGTATGGAGGGGCTGTCAACTTACAGCGACGCTCCTACGTCAGCCCTGATAAACCAGTACACCTGGGAGTCTCGGTACATTTAGGGAGTGTCTGGAAGTCCCTGTACATTTAGGAAGTGTCTGGGAGTCTCGGTAGGGGAGAGTGGGGCAAAGCGGCCACCCTAACGTTTCTAACGATGCCGACGCTTGATTTTTAAACTTGGAAAGATTCTTTCTATACCAATGTGATCCCTATTAAATTGTCTTTTATTCCAACTGCGTTTCATTTCCAAAGGCGTTCACATATGGGAGATATTGACAAAACTTTAAACCTATAGCATATTGGCCACTTTGCCCCATCCCTGAGGCAAAGCGGCCACTGGCGACTTCTTAAGTCCCGATATGAGAAACAGAATAGTTGCCTCATGCACGACTAGGGTATTTGATGGTGACAAGGTTTAAGGGAAGATGGATGTTAACTTTGTTATCTTCCCACCTATTGCTAAACAAAGAAAGAATTTTCTTGGAAAAACATTTAATTGCATAATTTGGTAACTCATGTAACCGAAAAGTGGCCAAGATGAATGCATGACGACACATTTGAATATAAATAATGTTTTTACCCAGATGGAAACAACTTATGGCCAATTGGGGGCTGGCCACTTTGCCCCGGCCGCTTTGCCCCGCGCATACCGTCCGAGACAAAAATATTCCAGCTCAGCTATTAGTGGGGTAAAAAGTATTAAAATTGGTAGAAGGCATTTACGATAACCACGCAATGCATGGACAAAAACGCTTATAAAAATTCCAAACGGTTATGGAATAAAATAACATTTAAAAATTGTAGACATAATTGGTAACCTGGCAAGAAATGCTTTTCCGTGTTTCACAGAACAATGGCGATGGGCCTGAAACCCCGGTTTGGCTCATTCGAACGACCGCAAAGAGAAGTATAATTGGAAATCATAACTTGGAACTGACGCCAGCTGTGGAGGGCTAAAACGATGGATGGCCACTTTGCCCCGGGTGGCCGCTTTGCCCCACTCTCCCCTACATTTAGGGAGTGTGTGGAACTCTCGGTACATTTAGGGAATGTCTGGGAGTCTGGTACATTAGGGAACTGTCTGGGAGTACGGTAAGTAGGTACTTTTAGGGAGTATCTCAGTACATCTGAGGATGTTTGGCACATCTGCAACTCACGGTGCCACGCCGAGGAAGGGCAGCGGTCCCATTAGGCCGAAGCCGATGATGACCATGACGGCGCTGACGGCGGTCACCACCTTGGGTCGGAGGTGGTTGTCGCACAGCCAGCCCCAGGCCGGCGCGCACAGCGCGTACACGCCGCCGTTGATGACAAACATCAGACCCAGCACGACCGGCTTCAGCTCAAACTGCAACGGTGCAGACCAGAGTCAGAGCCGCCGGCGCGGCCGGAGCGGTAGCGCAGCTGCACACAGCGCTCCCACCAACATCACATCTGCAAAGGACCACTGCTGGATTGATTGATGTATCTAAGTAGTGTACAGTCAGACCAGCATTAACACTTACAGGAAATAAACCACTTATATAGGCATAGCATGGCTATATAAATCAAAATAGCTATATAACATGGAGTTTTGAACTGGAATAGCAGTTTTGTAGCTTCAACTGAGACTAGCACAGCTTTTACACCCCAATGATCACCCTAGGGGCTAGACAATGATGTTCCTTTTCCCGTTCCGATAAGAGTGCCTTGTATACAGGAATATGTCACTTGTAGAATGTAGAATTGAAAAACACCAATACGGGCGAGGGTTAACTTATACACTACACAGATTGGCACATTTTTGGGATAGAGAACTTGAATGCAGAGATCAATAGTTTATTTCGAGAATGAATCGCGGTTTTAGATATGGGTAGTACTTTGAAGGAGAACGTTTAATTCACGCTTATTTATTCGCAAATTTCTCGATTCTGTAGATACCTGACAGTCCCAAATGTGCACGATGTTCGCAAGCTTCAGAAGTACTTCGTTTTACTTTAGGTACTTCGGTCCCCAGTCTGAAGAAAATGAGACGGGAAGTTATCCGTTTACTTTCGAAGTTATATCCCTTTACGGGTTCTCGCATCATTCAGGTCAATGGCTTCTCTGTCGCCTACTTTTTTCGGTACAAAGATAAACTGCCTAAATGTTGTAATTCCACTGTAGTATACAAGTTTTGTTGTGCCTCGTGTGGGGCGTCATATGTCGATAGCAACCCTACGCAATACGCAACCTTCACAGTCTAATGCAACAGCATTTGGGCAAGTCTGTCCGTAGGTATTGGGAAGTTCCTTGCCAAACCTGACCCCTTCCCTATCAGAGATCACTCATTAATGTGTGACGCATTGGTTGCACAGAGGACAATTTCACCATCTTGACGAAAGCAAACAGTGTGTGAGAACTCAGAATTTTAGAGTCTCTCCAGAAAGAAACGGGTTTTCATTTTCAAAGAAAACCCGTCTCTGAATAACATGTCATCGTCCTTCCCTCTGAGTACGGTAAGGTAGACGAACTTTGTAGGTAAAGTACCTAGTAGCTATAAGTTGAGCCACTTTTTCTTCTTTGCTGCTTTGACGCCATATTAACCCGCGCCCTGATGGGGTCTGCTTATAACGCGACCTGGTGGGGGGGGGGGCTATTTTTGCCCCCCCTCGTATCTCCAAAACTACTGGATGGATCCGCAAAATTCAAACGGCGTTCGAAAGGCCTGTCAAATTTGTCGAAGGAAACCAAATTTCATTGACCTCGGGGTCACCTATGACGTCACAGGTCAGGTCAAAGATGAAATGTTTCACCGTTCACGGGTCTTCTAGGGAATGCGCTATAACACCGAGGAAAACGCATTTTGTCGAGAATCAGCGATAGGGCGTCAGTTGCCTAGTAGATATGTTGCTATTAGAGGTCACTGACAATACCAGGTCAGGTCACAGGTCAGGTCACCAAGGGTCACAGGTCAGGTCACATGAGCCCAACTTTACTAAGGTTGTGTGATGCATGTTTTATGGCCATTTTTTCATTTCCAACTCAATGGTGTTGGTTATAAGACTATCAGGTACGGCTTAGGTCACTTTCTGGTGAAGTTCAGGTCAAGGTCAGGTCAAAATCAGGCCAAAAAGGTCAATTTTTAAAGTTGATAGTTTTGCATAAAATGGGTATTGATTCGATGCAGCTCGTCACGGGGAGTCTCATGGTGGTCTTTGTTTTGCGCTACGGGGTCTAGAATTGCTAAAAATTGAGTTTGAAAATTTGACGTCATCAATTTTGAACAGTTTTTTCGCTATAACTTCGCCAAAAAAAGAGGTATCAATCTCAAATTTGGTATGTGGATGGAAGGCGGTAAGGACTATCACATGTATTCCGGTTTTTGCGAAATCTAAAAAACTTCTTGGATTTTTCGATTATTATTTCCAAAAAAAAATATTTTTTGATTTTTAGGGGTCAAAATCCAAAAATTTCAAAAATCCGAGATAGCAGTTTTGTAGCCCTGTCGATTCTACAGCTTTTATGTCCCTGTCATTTTTCTGTATTTGCAAAGCTATAGGCCTGACAGCTCTTCCCGCGAAACCCTTTTTTGGGTCGAAAACGGCAGAACATGACGTCACTCTGACGTCATTTCCGGCCAACCTATCATAGCCTTTGGAAAAATTTTTTGGTCGGAATGTGTAAAATTGATGTCCGGGAGGGTACTGAAGGTTTGGTGACGATCGGCGCAGCGGTTCTGAAGATATATCGAAAAGTCTGGAGGGGGGGGGGGGCAAAAAATAGCCCCCCCCCCACCAGGTCGCGGGTTAAAGGAACCAATAATTAATTCATGTACCAAATGATACATTAGTCCATTGCGCTCATTTACTCGTCGAAAATGTTTGCAATATCTTGTAGGAAATGCTCATTAAATAAATAAAAGATAAGAAAGGTATTACACATTGATCAACATACCCCATGCATTGGTGGGGTAACATGATTCACCTTACGGGGTACCTAAGTTGTTCAATTGGCTCTGTAAAAATCGTTTCAAGACTCATGTTGGAACGTATCGCAAGGTATAATATAATTCTCGGACCTGTATTCTTTTCTTTTAACAACATCGTTACTTAAAGTGACCATCCCACCTTAACATTAGTTTTGAGTTGAGATAGCCAAATTGGTGGCCATGGCCTGAAAGTACCGGTTTGGGCACTCACAACATCGAAAAATGCTTTAATTCGGAGATATGGAATTTCAAACTTGCAGTTTTCGGATTCTAAGGGGCTAATGCATTGGGCTAATGCATTGGTATGCCCCCTTAGAATTTGTGACGTCAGCGGAGATCTAACGACTTTTAAATCTTTTACTAAAACGTTTGGTAGCACGCGGTGGTATATGCTGCTTTGCGCGTAACAAATGCCGCACTTTCAAATAAAGTCGCTATAGGAACAGCGGAGATCCCAAAAAGTAATTAAAAGTAAAAGTCTAATATCTTGAAAACCGGTGAATATTTTTCGATGAAATTTGGTAGATATTGGTTTTCGCTGTTTCTGAACCGAGCGACATCACTTTCATGCCAATTCATTAACTTTTTTGAAGGTCGGAGGGTCCCTTTAAACCTAATTTTGTAATGCTGGTAAATAACACAAATATTTGCATATAAATTTTGGGGCATACAATCGCGCACATTAAGTTTCCGTGGCCCGTGCTGTGGACTCTGTGGACTGCTGTGTTGGTGTGGACAGTGGAGCTGGACTGCCGTGGACTGTGCGGACTCTGACCGGCCTCAGGTGCGGCTCCAGCAGCGCCTGGATGAAGCCGATGCTGCACGACGCCGAGATGATAGAGAAGGCGGCCAGCGCAATGCCGGGCACTCGCAGCGCCCGCCGGATGCCGCCTGGCAGACAGAGACGGGGTCACTGGCGCACACCACAGCGCACACCACCGCCCCCGGGGGGTCAGTGGCGCACACCACAGCGCACAGCGCCGCCCCCGGGGTCATCGGCGTATACCACAGCGCACACCGCCGCCCCCGGGGTCAGTGGCGCACAACGCCGCCCCCGGGGGGTCAGTGGCGCACAGCGCCGCCCCCGGGGTCAGCGGCGCCGGCCGTGCGCAACGGGTTGGTATGCAATATGCATACACTCTGAAACTGTACACACTACCGTCGCTACTACTACTAGTAACTTTGGCATAGTTTTCAGCTACATTTATGTCGTCTTCTCAATTTGAGGCGTTATAGGCGAAATGAATGATACACAATGTACAGTTGACTACAGATTGATGTTCCACTTTTCACGGGCAATCAGTTGCCTGAAGTGGTAGGCTGTACCGCATCACACGAGCTGAGTTCACAGTTGAGTGCTGGGACCCAAGGTTCACCTTAGACACGCTCAATTGCGCGATAAACAGCACAACTTAGCGTTCCAGTCAACTGATAGCTCCTAAGGAGTGGAACATCATTCTCTGGTCAACCTTACAGCAAAAAAAGTGAACAACTGGGTCCTTTCAGTTTGCGACGTGTAGCGAGTGCTGTCCGGTGTGATGACGAGTGGCGCGCCCCACTCACCGCCTTTGCTGTCCTTGCACGAGTGGTCGTCGTGGTTGGGCAGCAGCACGAACGTCAGAACGGCAGTGAAGAACAGTACGCCGCCCAGACTGACGAACGGCAGTGTGTACCCACCCAGCTGTCCAGGAGGGGGGGGGGGGGAGTCAGCGCGCCGCCGCACCGGCACCATGGACCGGTGCAGGAGACAGGCGTATCAGTTTCACACAGGCACACACACAAACACACACACATACACGCACACACACACACCACCACCACCACACCGCACCGCACCGCACCGCACCACACCGCACCGCACCGCACCACACTGACACTGACACTGACACAGGCACACTGACACAGACACAGGCACAGAGACACAGGAAAGTGCGCAGCACGGTCGGCTCTATGGGTCCGCTGCAGTATCGGGCCCTACCAGGCCCATGTACCCGTAAAACGGCACCCATGACCGGCAGTCCGCGCCGCCCGTGTTTATCGGGAGGGACGGGGGACGGGGGGGGGGACGGTCAGCCGGCAGTCCGGTGGGCCACGGTCGGCGCTGGACGGCGCACGTGGCACGGGCGGCTGGCGCGCCACGTCTGGCCACCGCCAGACGCCCAGTGTTTGGGCGGCCAGACACCTGCGTACCTACTGGATGGTGCTGCTCACTGCTCAGCTGCAGAGTGTGCAGCGCGCGCACTGTCCGCTGACTGGACTGAGCGCACTGTCCGCTGACCGGACTGAGCGCCGTCTGAGTGACCGGACAGAGTAGCATCTGACCGACCGCTGAGCGCCGTCTGAGTGACCGGACTGAGCGCCGTCACCTGACCGGACTGAGCACCGTCTGAGTGACCGGACTGAGCGCCGTCACCTGACCGGACTGAGCGCCGTCACCTGACCGGACTGAGCGCCGTCTGAGTGACCGGACTGAGCGCCGTCTGAGTGACCGAAGCTCCGCCATCCGACCAACCTCCCCTCCTCTCCCGGTCACTGTTGCTGGAGAGTGGACGGGCATCGGCGCACACAGCAATCACTCAGCAAATCGGCTGTCAGCATGGGTGATATTCTCCTGTAATGACCATGGCTACGAACACAGCCATGGCGGCTGGTACTGCTACTGACGATCGGCGCAGTCGCCGCGCTGCAGCTGAGGCGGCGGCCAGCAGCCGCCTGCGCGCTGCTGTGCCGCAATGGCCGCGTGCTCGCCGGGTACGGGGACCCGCAGTTGCTACTGTACACGAACCCCAAGTCTAACCGTCTGTCCTGTCCAGTAACAACCGATAACATTGATATCGACTGCCGTCCCTGTACAAGAGCAGCTGAGGTTTTCTGTGCGTGCCCTCTGACAGCTTATCGTTGTTCCCTGTGAGGGTACTGGGACAATATACTCAGGGTCGCTGTACAGTAGCAACTGCGGGTCCCCGTACCACTACCTACAGCCGCCCTCCGCTCGCCGTCAGGTGACGGCAGGCGTCGCGTCGGAGAGCGGCCGAAACTTCACCGAGCGCACATGGTTCGTCGGAAGGTCAGTTCGTGCTCAAAAGAAACGACATTGAAAGCTGACGGTGAGCTGATTCCAAAAATGTATTTTTTATCGAAATCGTTCGATGGCAATGTATTGCGAAAAGAACTTTATCAAATGCTAATAAGCGCCTTCCACAGCCGACAAAAAGGCGCAATCACACAGCTCAGTCTCACGATGGACCAAAGTCAGCCACAAAGAAGCATGAAATGACCCTTGCCGACTCGCAGAGCTGGCACTCTCGACCCGCCTGTGACAGGCCACGGAAGGAACGTTCGGCTCTCGTTCTACTAAACAAGGGTAAAGGGCGCCTCCCGCCGCTCATTTACCTGGTAAAGGGCGCCGCCCACCAATTCATTTATCTGGTAAAGGGCGCCGCCCACCGTTCATTTACCTGGTAAAGGGCGCCTCCCGCCGTTCGTTTACCTGGTAAAGGGCGCCGCCCACCGTCGGTCCGACGATCAGTCCGATGCCGAAGAATGTCTCCAAGGAGGCCTGTGGACAGCCAAACCAGGCAGTTAGTTCAGAAACACGAGTCTCTGACATCTTAGTGAGCTTTCCCGGGCGTCTATAATGGCTCTCCCTTACAAACATCAGCAGTCCCTGCCTGCAATTTGGCCAGTATCACCTCTAACCGCGCTGCTGTACTTACAAACGTGGTCGCCACGTTGTCGGGAAACTCCTTGGCGATTATGGAAAAGCTGGCTGTCAGGAAGCCGGCATTTCCCATCGCCTCTACAATACGGATTGCAAAACTCAGCCCGATGAACAGCCTTGTGTCCTCCACCTTGTCAAGAAACCTGCAAAACAAACAGGGCACGAAGCCGCATAAAAATTGCTCTGATAGTTGGCAGCTCGAGCGGGCTAAGTACCAGCTCGGATGGCTACGTTACAGCTCATAGTGACTTATTTGCGCGGTACATGGGCACTGGACAGTACCTACACATACACGGAAGATATAGGGCCCTGCACGGAAGGCTCGCATAAATCCTGACACGACCAGCTAGGTGGCTATGCAGCGTGTGAAATATGACAAGCCGGAACGGCAGCAGATGGGACATGCCTCTGGTCTACTTAACAATCTGAATCTACATAGTTAACATGAATATATGTTGTTGAGTGCTCTCGCGAGGAACATCTTGTAATATTTTAGAATGATTTGCTGATTGTTTGTCTGACGATGCCCTGTGGGTGAAAATTCACTCAACTTTTATACATCGTATTCGACATTTAACATTTCTATATTCGAGACCAAGATCAGTAACAATCATTCTAGTTAACATCAGTCATCACAACACTCCAAACTGTTATGGACAGCTACGCCATTGCTGGTCGGTAATTTACTGTTACCTGCGCCTAGTACTCTCACCTTGGTCTGTGTCTGCATTTTCTGTGACATACATAACATACGCCCGGCCTGTACATACTCGACCTGCTGATTTTGTTCGGTATGTTGCCAGCAGTCGTGAGCGTGCTGTGTATGACCGGCGCTCGGTACAGCTAGGCATTATCCGTTTGGTTACCGTACAGTACCTATCTGCTCGGTATCCGTACAGTATCTACTCGGCTACCGTACTCGTAGAGTATCTATTCGGTACCCACTCACTCACTACCCGCTCGGTACCCACTCACTACCCGCTCGGTACCCACTCACTACGCTCGGTTACCGTTCAGTATATATCCAGTTACCGTACATTAGCCACTTGGTTACCGTTGAGTACCCACTCGGTTACCGTTCAGTAATTACCGACTCGGTTACCGTTCCGTGTCCGCCCAGTTACCGTTTAGTACGTATTCGTTCGGTTACCGTTCAGTATAGGGGAGAGTGGGGGGAGTTTCTTGCCAGGTTACCAACTATGTTTACAATTTTTAAATGTTATGTTATTTCATAACCGTTAGGAATTTTTATAAGCGTTCTTGTCCATGCATTGCATGGTTATTGTACATGTATTCTACCAATTTTAATGTTTTTTCCCCACTGATAGCTAAGCTGGAATATTTTTGTCTCGGACGGTATGCGCGGGGCAAAGTGGCCGGGGTAAAGTGGCCACCCCCCCCCCCCCCATTGGCCATAAGTAGTTTCCATCTGGATAAAAAAAACATTATTTATATTCAAATGTGTCGTCATGCATTCATCTTGGCCACTTTTCAGTTGGATGAGTTACCAAATAATGCAATTAAATGTAGGGGAGAGCGGGGAGAGTTGTATCATGTCCAAGTTATATCAGGGCGAATTGTGCCAAACTTATCCAATAGATGGCGCTCGTGACACGACCAGCCGACGAGGTTTTCCGGGCGCCATCTTTCTTTGTTCTGTCGTGTGGCTGGGTGGACGCGTCTCGAGGTGAGAGCCGATTTTATGTTTTTTAATGTCATTCTAAAAAAAATAAGTTGCAAGAAAATGTGTGTTTTGGGCATTTAGATGTGCACGACTTTGAAAGATCTCCGTAGCGGTGGTGAGGGTAGGTTCTAAGGCTGCGTGAGTGAAAATGGATTTCTCCAGCTGTCCGCTGTTTTTGAGCACGAGGATGTTTTTCCAAGATGGCGGCGAGGTACATGTTGTATCAGAGCCGGGTGGGGTATGTTGTAACATGTATGTATGTATGTATGTATGTATAGGTATGTTGCTTTTGATCGCGAAAGCTAAGCCCTGGCTCGCGTTTGTATGTAGCTAGTCAATATTCGTTCCATTTCGGCACAATGTGTTGGCTTCTTTGCTCTTAACGGGCTACTTTTGCGTCTAGTCTGTTGAGGTTTCGTTCGTTTGACGTTTCGATGTTTCGTTCGGATTGCATTGACCTAAATTTGGTCTAATAAAAGTGAAGCCTTTGAGCATATACATTGTATTGACCCCATTTAATGTTGTTGTTATGTTCAAAACCAATAGCAAGCACACTCCCTGAAACGTGAAATAGTGATACAAATTACCAGTGGCGTATCCAGGGGGGAGGCCAAGAGGCCATGGCCTCCCCCTTTGGGATCAGATATGCAAGTGGGCCCTTTGGGTCACTTGAACGCAGTGACGTACCCAAGGGGGGCCACGGGTCTAAGGATAACTCAGGGGGACCAGCGTGACGAAGGCGTTCTGGGTCTCCCTGCCTTCATTCCAGTACCAGACAGTACGTCTTTTACTCGGAACAGAAACGAATATTAAAGAGCGATTTCTATCACAGTGACGAACACAGAGGGCCCCTAACTACCTGAGAGCCCCTGGCTACCTGAGGGGACCCCTGGTTACCTGAGGGTCCCCCTGGTCACTTGAAGGGCCCCTGGTTATCTGACGAGCCTCTGGTTATCTGAGGAGCCTCTGGTTATCTGAGGGGCCCCTGATTGTCTGAGAGGTTCCTGGTTGTCTAAGGGACCCCCTGGCTACCCGAGGGGCCCCTGGTCACCTGAGGGGCCCCTGGTTACCTGAGGACCCCTGGTCATGGAACCCCTGTTTACCTGAGGGGCCCCTGGTTACCTGAGGGAACCCTGGTTATCTGAAGGACTCCTGGTAAAGGACCCCTGGTTACCTGAGGGGCTTACCCGAGGGGCCTCTGGTTACCTGAGGGGCCCCTGGTTATCTGAGGGGCCCCTGATTCCCTGGATGGCCCCTGGCCAGTTATCTGTAGAAGCTCTGGTCACCTGAGGGGCCCATGTTTACCCGGGGAGTACCTGGCTATCTGAAGGGCCTCTGCAGTCACATGAAGGCCCTTGGTTGCCCGAGGAGCCCGTGGTATAACCGGCCCCTTATTATCAGAGGGTCCCCTGGTCACGGTAACATGGCGGGCCCCTGATCAATTGAAAAGCCCCTGCAGTCACCTGAGAGGCCCCTGATTACCCGATCACTTGGATTTAATGGCATAGCCAGGGGCGAGGGGACACGTGTCCGTTATATGGTTTAGGGTCCCCTCGGGCCCGAGGGGCCCACCGACGCCTCCAAGGGCCCTATACCAGCGCATCTAACGGCCACTTACTAGCGACTCTGAGGGCCTCTTACCGGCACCTGAGGTTCCCTTGCCGGCCTATGAAGGGCCACTAGTAACGTTCAGGGCCCCATACATGCCTATGACGGCCCCTACCAGCGTCTCTAAGCCCTAAGGCCCCCCACAACGGTGCTTGTGTGCACCCCACACCAGCGCATCTGACGGTCTTTCACAGACACGTCTGAGGGACCAACACCGGCGACTCTGATGGGCTCGCTCGCTTCGCTTCTTCATAAAAGACCGTGCATTTTATGCACATTTCTCAGACAAAATGATACTTTTATCTCATCTGCCAATTTTCCACCTTTTCTCAGGGCTTAGACAGACAGACAGACAGGCAGACAGTGAGACAGACAGATAGAGGGGCCCGTCCGCAAGGGAGACCGGACCCACTGTGCCCAATCGCCCCCATCGAAATGTTCTGGATACGTCACCGCCTGGGTTGACAGTGGCCTCCAGGTAACCCGGGGCCCCTTCGAGAGCAGGTTGCCCCTCCTGGGCGAAATCCTGGGTACGTGCAATGTGCATGCTTGGGTGTCCCAAGATAAACGACCGTCAGAGCCTTATCCGAAGTACTGGCCCAAACTGAAGACAATGTGGAGCCCTCTGAGGCCATTGTGAGGCCCTCTGTGACCAGCGTGGGGCCAGCTGTCATCTGACTTCAGACGCTGGTGCTGGGCCCTCAGAAGCCAGCACGGGGCCTTCATAGGCTGGCGTCGGGCCATTAGAGGTCACTTCGAGGGCCTCGGCAGCCATACTTCAGATCGTATGCATGTTTGAGCCCCCTGAGGTAAGAGTGGCCCTTAGAAGCCGGCGCGGAACCCTCAGAGGGCAGCATGGGCTTCTAGAGACCGGCGTGGGTTCGAGAGCGGTATAGGGCCATCAGACTGACTCAAAGGCTCCCAAGAGCCAGCGTGGGGCCCTGGGAGGTCAGCAATAGTATGGGTCTCCTGAGGCCATTATGGGGCCGGCTGAGGCCAGATTCGTTCACTCTGTTGCCGAAGAGGGGCTTTCAGAGGTCAGAATGAGCCTTCAGAGTTTTTAGATGATTGCCAAGTGTGCCTAAAAAGGCTCCCTCACATGGCGAAAGTGGCAAAGAACCGCACCTGTGCGTGGATTAAGTATGCTACCACTGGGGCCCCTAAGGTAAGGGTGGGGCCCCTTGAGCAGGTTTGGCCTCCCCCTTTTCAAGATCCTGGATACGCCACTGCAAATTACCCCACCATGTGATACAACTCACCCAAGCCATGGGGCAGTTTGTATCAAAAACATTGTTCTATTCGGCACACCGTAGAAGAAAAACTGGTAGAGGTAGCGGAAAAGTTACTCTGCACAAAAAAGCAGAAGAATCAAGGAAGGAGAAAGCATGGAAATAATGAGTTTATCACGGATAGTTACGAGGTTATGGGTCTCGGAGCAAAAACTGATACAACCCACCCCACTCTCCCCTATTTTCATGAAAATACTTTCTTTGTTTACCTACAGGTGAAAGATAATAAATTAAACATCCATCCTCGCTTAAACCTTGCCACCATCAAATACCCTAGTCGTACATGAGTCAACTATTTTGTTTCTCATATCGGGACTTGAGAAGACGCCGGTGGCCGCTTTGCCCCAGGGTATGGGCCAAGCGGCCAATACATACATAAACCTATGCAACTGTATGCATAGGTTTAAAGTTTTGTCAATATCTTCCATATGTGAACGCCTTTGGGAATAAAACGCAGTTGAAATAAAAGGCAACTTAATAGGGATCACATTGGTATGGAAAGAATCTTCCCAAGTTTAAAAAAAAACAAGCGTTGGCATCGTGAGAAGCGTTAGGGTGGCCG